CCCCAAAACCCCAAAACCCCTAAAACCTTAATATATTAAAATTCATTAAAATATGAACAATATTTGATTATTAGTATTTTAAATTGAAAGTAAATGGACGGAGGTGATTATGCTGGAGGAATTTCCACTCCTATCGTTATTGATAATGTAAACTGCCTTTCATTAGTTTATGGGATAAAATCTTAAAACTTTCTGATAGGGATCAGGTGTCATTAAAGCTGGCTTTGGAGGAGAAGAATTGCCACAAAAAGTCTTTAATTCATTGTAAGCTATCCATGATGATTAGCATTGATTTCTAATATTCTCTTAGTGTAGGAAGACCAAAACATGAAAAGGTTATGATTACCACTAATGAGCAAGATGTTTACATTGGAGATGTTATTGTAATTTAGCTTAATGTTCAATGTATTAGGAAAAATATAAAGGAGTGCTGAAGCTTAACTATCCAATTGAGCATGGAATAATCGTTGATTGGAAAGATATGGAGATGTTGTGGAGGCATGTTTTCGATGAACTAAAGGTTTCACCTAAGGAACATCCAGTACTTTTGACTGAAGCACCACTCAATCCATATATGAATAGAATAAAGGCAGCAGATTGCTTCTTTGAAACATTCTAGACACCCAGTCTATTTTTCCAAACACAAGCAGTGCTTAGTCTTTACGCTTAGGGTAAAACCTCTGGAGTGGTTGTAGATTGTGGAGATGGAGTATGCCACTGTTCACCCGTGTATGAAGGTTTCTCAATTAATAGTGCAGTTCAAAGGATTGACTTAGGAGGTAGAGATATTACTGCTCATCTGATGAACTTATTGAGAAGAGCAGGATATATCTTCCACACAACAGCAGAGTTCGAGATTGTGAAAAAAATTAAGGAGAAGTACTGCTATGTTGCTCCAATGAATTCCAGCAACGATGAATTCTTGAAAGTTCAAGATGATAGAACTCAAACTTCATATATCCTACCAGATGGCACTTAGATGAAGATCTCTTCTGAAAAATATAAAGCTCCAGAGATTTTGTTCTCACCTGATAAAATCGGTCTTGAATACCCAGGAGTTCACGAGATGGTTATTAATGCTATTAAAAAGTGCGATATTGATCTTAGAAAGACATTGTATAACAATATTATTGCTGCTGGTGGTACTACTCTGTTTATGGGTTTCAGTGATCGCTTACATAAGAGTATCTAGAAGCTCGCGCCAAAAGATATGAAAATCACTCTTATAGCCCCAAACAACAGAAAGAATTCTTGCTGGATTGGAGGTGCAACAGTCTCTTCACTCAAAGCTTTTAGTAGGATGTGGGTAACAAAAAAGGAGTACGAAGAAGAGGGTGCGAGAGTTCTATTAAGATAGAGTGTTTGACCTAATCGATAAATATTTTTGTTTTATAAGCATCTTATTCATATATATTTAACATGCGGGGTTTTGGGGTTTTGGGGTTTTGGGG